ATTGAATGTTTCAAACTCACTCCAAAAAAGTTTTAATATAGGTTATGACACAAAGTTGTCAGTATATAAATCCTAGACAATTTCATTATGGACAGATACAAATGGTTAGAATAAATTATAGTCCATTGTTCTCATTTTACTTGTGTGTGTATATATATATATATATATATATATATATATAGTGACGACATGGTGGCTGTTAATAATTAAGTATAAATCAACACTTCAATGTTAAAATAAAACAGTATTTAATTACAACTGCAAATAAATACTTAACAAGAACAAAGTAGTATAAGTTAACCAAAGGTAACCATTTCAGTGAATACCTTGTTAGTAGTGCAGCTTGGCTTAATGTCTGGTAAATTCTAAATAAAACCCAAATTATCAGTGCACAATAATTCACACTAGTTTGACTGAATAGTTCCACTCAACAGGCAACTCAGTCTGACACCACTATTTATACACCTGGTTGAAACATATTCTTAAGTCCAGTGTCACACTCGAACCTCCGTATCAGTAGTTACACATTTTCTTCTCATATGACTTATACACACACACACACAGGATGTAACAGCAAAATTGTCCATTTATTAGATTAAGCTTTGAACTGTTGTATCTTAATGATTAAAGATATCTTATTGAAATTCTCTGAGGTTTTCATAACACTATTGGACTCTACTTGAAACTATCAGAATGTATAATTACTCTCCAAGTTTAGCAGAAGAATTGTAATGAAAACGAAAATGACATGTTCATCATTAATTAATCATAGCTAAGGATTGGAAGCTCATGAAGAATTGAAATAAAGTTCAAATGGAAGCTTAAATACTGCTATTTATTTCTCTCTGATAAGAACAAAAGTGTTAGGCATCAAGAGTTGCTCCACCTTTGGGAATGACATACTCAACCCTCTTCTTGAATGCACCACAAGCTTTTTTTTTTTCTTTTTTTTTTTTTTTAAGGAATTCTTCAATGTTCTCCACCCAGGTCATATTGATGGATTTTTTTTTAGGGCTTTCAGGTTACTGTGGGGCATATCACAAGCTTTTCTGGCCAGTTCATTCTCGATGCTGAAGTACAAATTGGGTGATGAAGTAGGCCCAGTTTCCTTATTCCAAAACTGTTTGCAAACTCATCCCTGAGAAATTTTTGAGCCACTGCACTCATGTGACAATGAGCTACATCTTGCTGGAATGTAAATTTGAAGGCCTTATTGGGGTTTTGATTGTAGCATTAGGATATCTTTACCTTTTTTCAAAATTTGAACATAGCAAACTCCTGTCAGTCTCTCATTCTTCTCAAACAGGATCTATGGCATCTTCTTGACATCAGAGGCCCCCCATGTAAACACCATTACCTTGGCAAGGTTTTTGCACTTGAAAGTAACATTCTTGTCTCTCTTATGAGGATCTTTAGCCAGAATACAGCCATTATGTCTGTGTACACATCCTGTGTAAAATTCTTCTCAACTGTATAGAAGATTATTCCAGGATCATTTTCCAACTTATTCAAAATGAGCTTCATCCTCTCTAACCTAAATTTCTGTCCTGGAGTAACAAGGTGCCTCATAGGCCTTGCATACAATTTCATTTGCAAGTCATTTTTCACTGCTCATTGAACTCTCATAGCAGAAACTCCTCTCTCATGTGCCAAATGTCTTATGGATTGAGTTGAATCTTTTCTAATTGGTCTCTTTAGCTCTAAGTTGAAATGATGATCTCTTTTGCTGTTGTGACCTCCTGATCCAATTTTCCTCCTTACTGTTCCCTATTTTTTAAACTTATTCACTGTTCTTTTGATGGTTCTTGAATGGAGTTTGAAGATGGAAGCCAGAGTAAGAATGTTGGTAACATTACTGAAAGCCTGAATGATCTTTTTCCTCTCAGCATTGCTCAGTTAGGAAGACATAGTGGGGCTGACGCAAAATGATTTTAACTTGTTCTCTTTCTAGCTGAATAACACAGTTTTTTTTTAGTGATTCTTACAACAAATGCTGTCAAGATGGCTAAACATTCTATTTGAAAACGTGGAAAAAAAAAAGAAACTCCTTTAGTTTAGTGGTTTTTTAGATATTAAACATTTTGTGGGATAGACAATTATGCTGTTACACCGTGTGTGTGTATATATATATATATATATATATATATATATATATTAAATATAAAGAGATAAAGATCCAAGGGATTAAGGTCGGAGGCATATGCATGCCATTGATCTGCTCCTCCCCTACTTATCCATCTTTCATAGTAGATGTCAGCCAGTGCATCGTGAACAATGTGAGTAAAATCTGCTGGAGTCCCATTATTCACGCATCTTTGTATTAGCAGTGGTAGATCTTCTAGTATGTTTGGAAGTGTTTTCAAAATAGTCCCAGTAAGACATGCTGGGAGAACATATTGACCTACTATACAGTCACCTACAATTCCATCCCACACATTAATTGTAAACTGATGCTGGTGTCTAGCCTGTAATGTACTGGGGATTTTGATCTGTCAATAAATGTTGGTTGTGTGAATTTGTTATTCCATCTCTTCCAAATGTTGCCTCATCCGTAAACAAGACAGAAGAGACAAACAATGGATCAGCAGTATGTGCTATAAACCATTGGCAAAAGTTCTCCCACGGTGAGTCATCAGAGAGCAGAGACTATGCACACATTGAAGTGCCCTCCATGCGGTACTAAGAGATATGACATATTAGGGCCACTTCATGTGTGCTGATAACTGGATTTGTTTCTAATAGTCTGTAGAATGTGTACTTTGTGGTCAAGTGTATGAATAGATTTTGGTCTCCCTTGATTCATAATGTGTAGTACCACAGATTCTGTCTCTGTAATGTGATGATAAACAGCAGCAAAGGTTGAATAAGTCTATTGCTTTCTGCCTGGAAATGCAATCTGATGCAGCCATGCAACCTCACATCTATTAGCATTCGTGCATCCATATCTATACATCCAATGAATATCCTGCCATTGTTAAATGGAACACTTCTTAGTTAACTCACTACTACGCATGTAAATCATTGAAGACAGACTAGCCACAAATATAACCTAGTCTACGTGGCAACATAGCGCCATCTACCATAAATTTTCTTTAAATATAATTACTCAAAAACAAAAGATTTGCAGACAAATTTATATGGACTTTTGTCCTTGGTTTGGTGTGAGGAACTCGATGAAAAGTTTGTTAAACTATTTTTGATACCGCCTCTGTGTGTGTGTATGTATATATATATATATATATATATATATATATATATATATATATATATATATACACAAACACACAGGATATTTCATATTGATGACATGGCTTATTGCTTCTGCTGCATTGGAATTAGCCTTCAAACAAGAAATAAAGACACTTTTAAAACAATGGGTTTGTTTTTTTATGTAAAGCATTCAGTGTTTGCATTGGGTTTGAGAATCATTTAGTGTTTGCATTTTGCCTGAGAGACGTTCAGTGTTATATGCATTTTGCTTGAGAGATGTTTGTTTGCTTTGAACTTGTGACTTTGGATTTACAATTATTTGACCTGTGATTTACCAATTTTATGATCAACATTCTTGCAATTAGCTATATCAGTATTTCCTGTAGCTGGAGAGTAAAATTTCCAACAGAGTGGAGCCATGTATTGATCTTATCTGCCAACTTTTCATCAAGAACTGTACTTACTTTACCTACAGTATCTGGAAGAAAATGTCCTTCACTATATATATATATATAATCTTGGAGAGCTAGTATTGCTGATGGCATCAAAATCTTCTATAAGGCATCACAAACATATGTAGAACTCGAGAGAGGGGTTCAGAAGGGATCCCTAAATTGCCATGAAGTGCCAACCTGGCAGTCGGATATGTCTATCCAGGGCAGGTCTGCTCAGTCACCAGTGGTTGCACCAATATCAACAGTCTGTTGTATATGATGATTTCGTAAAGGCAGGCTTAGAATGCCTGACCTGCCCTAGGGTGTGTAAGTCTAGATTAAGCCTGACAAGGTATATGAAAGGACACATTGGAAGTGATGATGATCAAAGTCTCCTTCTACTACCCAGAGAAGATTTGATATTCTACATATGTGACAGGAAATGCAGATCAATGGCTGGCTTTGAGCCACTGTCATTCACACAACTGATAAATGCAGCGTTGTGGTGGGGAGTTAAGTGAAGGACTGGACATGTCAGTTATGGTCATACTTGCTTTGCAAGTCAATAGCCACTTGCTATATATATATATATATATATATATATATATATATATATATATATATATATATATATATATATATATGAGATAAGCAACTTGAAGGATCCAAATTGAAATTTCTTATGTGTGGTTAATTTACTAAGAAATTTCTTTAAGTAATCCATCTGTTACTTTTCTTTTCTGAAAATTTTCCACAATTTTTCCAATGAGATCAATATATTTCATCTTGGATGCATTTTTTTAATGTTGGTAGTTTTAAGTTTTCAATTGCAAGAACGTCACTGAAAATAACATACTCTGCCTTGGGTTTTTGTTTTTTTCCATTTAATACTGCTATACTTAAAAAAAAAAATATTTATCATCATGTTGGCTTATCAGTGACATTTTCTTCCAGGTAGAGGTTTTGGATAAGGATGCAGGTGCCTGTTGTCCCAAACTTGTTTCTTGTAGATTTGCCTGTCAGTGTATCTTTCTTTCTTTCTTGTACAATATCAATGTGCTGAAAATTCTTGGTTCTATCAAAAAGTTTTTTTTTTAATTTTTTTTTTTAATGATTCATTTTCTGTGGCTTATCAACCCTTTGCTGGTTATTTAAAGCCAGAATATATTTTTAGATTGTAAGATTTTTTTTGATAATGGTTTAGTGATACAGGTCTTACTAATTAACCTACAGCTGGCTCAAGAAGAGGTTGATTCATATCTTTCCCAAGGTTATTTGTACATAAGTGAATATAACTCGGCAGGAACTTTGCTCTCCGATTAACAATATCAAGCCATACTGCTAGAACATCAAAGCTTTCAGCACCTGGTATTCCCAAGTGGTCACCCATCTAGGTACTGATCAGATTCATTGTTGCTTAACTTTAGTGTTTGTACAGGAACTGGTGTTTCAACATGATGTGGTCACAAACTATCAAGAAGCTTTTCAAAATTCTGTACCCGTCATCTTTATATACATCCCCTGTTTTTTGAAAGTAACATCACACTCCTTCACTTTTACAGAAAAGCTAGATTAGCATAGGTCTCTCTGCTATCCACTATCTGAAATGGTATAAAATAAAGAAGCAATTAAAATTAGATGGAAACTTCTTGAGTGTTCCCAGACCAAAAGATTTGCCTATGTCTGCTTTGAAGTCAAATATTGACATTGATCTTCTGATGGGGAAGGCTTGAAAAATGACAGTATTATTAGCTTGATTATTTAGCATGTCACATTTTTGTAACATATAATTTCATGGCATAATTTTCTGCAGTTATTGTATCCCTGTAAGCTGTTGCAAAAGATTGAACACAAGTTTAATTTTTTTGGGTCTAGAAATGCTCATCAATTTTAGATGTTGAAGTCGGGGTGGGGGGTGCTTGTAATATAGATAAGTGAACACTGAAAATTTCTGAACAAACCACTTTCCCTGAATTAGTATTTCAATGACCAAACATCTGAAGTAGTTTGAGAATTAATCGGCACCTCCTTGAGTAGAGTGAGGATTTTTCAGTACCCCCTCTTGAAGCAGTGTGCCGAGGATTTTTCAGTACCCCCTCTTGAAGCAGTGGGCTGAGGATTTTTCAGTACCCCTCTTGAAGGAGTGGGCTGAGGATTTTTCAGTACCCCTCTTGAAGGAGTGGGCTGAGGATTTTTCAGTACCTTTCTTGAAGGAGTGAATTGAGAATTTTTCAGCACTCCTTTTGAAGGAGTTTAGAATTTTTCAGTATTTTGTATGTATGTGTGTGTGTTGCCTATCCTTAAAAATGTTTTTAAATATAACTTGTCAGAAAAGTTTAGGGATGACAAAGTTAACGATTTGAGAGTTGATTTATCCAGATGAGGAACATGCATTTAGATTTCTAGATCAGAGAGAAGCAGATAAATTCAGAGGCAAAAAATGTTGAGTAAAAGACAATGTCTACTGAGCAACAAAGGGAATAGTTAGAATGAAACCAAGGCAGCGGTGATAGGGTGGGAAATATGATCTGTCAGCCCTCTTATCATTGTCTTAAATTGATTTCGTTTGGTAATCAATAGCTGTTCTCTTTTAGCCTATACACTCATGGTGGTGTGACAGAACCTATTGTCAAGCTGAGACAATCAATGAATTGAACATTCCATTTGTGTTATGACTGTGCCTACCAGATGATGTTATTTATAGAAGCAAAAAATAAGAGAGGAAAAAAAAAGATCAGTGAAAGTGTTAGGTTAGTGTGTCAGTATCAATATGTTTAGTCATGTGTGTATCTGTTACATAAAACCTTTCTCATATATATATATATATATATATATATAGTCAGTAAGAATTCAGGCAGACATGTTTTATTAAAACTAAGAAAGTCTGTCTGTTCAGTATTTTAGAACATTGTTCCAGTAAGCTGTAACACATTCGGATCAAATTTATAAAGAAATCGTCCAAAGTCCTTGATGTTTTTGTTTGAGTACTTTTAGTCACCATTAGTCATTATTGTGAATATTGGAAAAGAGAAACGTTTTTTTTTTTTTGTTTATCAGTTTTTTGTTTTTTTTTTTAGAAATGCCATGTGAGTAATAAGGAAGATTTAAGGAAAATCAAAACAAAAACAATACTTAGAATCAGAAAGAGATAGTTAAAATTTCCAGGACACATAATAAGGAAAAAAGGCTTGGAGAATTTAGCATTCACAGGGTATATTGAAGTCAAGAGAGACAGAAGGAAGTAGCAAGTAACTTACCTATTGCTAAACAGCTCTCTATTAATCATCTGAGAGAACCCTCTCTGCCTTTCATCAGCGTGGCTGATGCTGATCTTCAAGAGAGAGACAGGCATGAAGAGAAAAGACTATATTGAATATATTGCTAAGTCAACTGCTAGGAAATTTGATTCACTGTGTTGTGTTTGATGGTTATTTTCTCTCCAGAGTCTATTTTACATATGTATGTCTACTATTCGCCCATGCTGAGAATATTGCTGCCACATATAGTTCAGTGCTCCTGCTATCTATCTATCTAGACCTCTTTGATAAAATCCAAAGAATCAGCAATACTATTGGCCCTGATCTGGAATCTCGGTTTCACTCACCTCTCCACCACTGTAAGGTTGCCTCCATTTGCCTTTTCTATAAATACTTTCATGGTAATTGTTTGGATAAGCTCTTAGTGATTGTGGGGGTTTTATTACTAATATTATTTTTTTTTAGTTTCTTGTAAATAGTTTTGCATTCATATTGTAAATACTCATTGGGGTTAGATTTTAGAATTGTTTTATTCCCCCCACCCCACAAACAATGAATTGTAAATATGGAGACTAGTTAGTATTTTCATAGAGACAATGAGGTATTATGTTGGATGTGGTAAGAAAAGTACATATGAATGTGTTGTTTTGGTGTAAGGAATATTGTTTGTATGATTGGGTCAGTGTTTGTGGCTAGCTAAGTTATAGTTAAGACAGAAGACTGTCCTTTTCCCCAATCCCCCTTTGGCCATGTGCCACATTTCTGTGTATTAAACAGAATAAATATTGCTCTTTAGACTGGCAATGAGGTCTCACTAATTTACAGTATTTCACTTGCTAGATGTAACCTGCTAGATTTCACTTGCTAGATGTAACTATAAATTCTATCATAAGTTTCTTTTCTTGCACTTCTGGAACCATGCTTTCTAGTCAACTTTAACCTGCTAAAGTTTAAATGCAATGTCAATTGCTATCTACTGTCCTCATGGATATTCTTCCTCTGTTATTGCTCCTTAGCAATTTTCCTGTTTCTAACTCTTCCACACCTAATAACCCCTTGTACCTTGGTAGCTTTACTTCCTTGCTTGGGGTGAACTTGATTAAAATAAAAAAAAAAAGTAGTAATTGAGCTTGTGTAAATGGATGGCAGAACAAGGATTGGGATGAATATTGAAAAGACCCACGAGTTACAAAGGGCAGGAAGTAAAAAGAATAAATAAAAACTGGTTATCTTTAGGAGACACAGAGAAGGCTGAGAATGTTTTTGCTATGGCAGTTTAAAAAAAAAAAAAGAGCTTGAAGTATATGTAGAATATTCATAACATCTTTCAGCTTAAAAAAGAGAATGTTGAATCCAGAGACGCAGGATTAGGCAGACTGCATCAGGTGAATAACTATTCTGGTAGCAGAAGAATAACAAGTCTTACACTTAAGAGAATGGTTGTCATTGTTTTTCTATTCTTACAACACAGTAAATTATAGGTATTTATTGCAATCATTAAGTGATATACCTACATAAAAATTATATTTTTAATGTTTTTTTTTTTTTCATCTTGTTTATGTAAAAGATACATTTGGTTACAATTTATTAACTTTTTTTTATATTTGGATTGTTGGCTTATTTTTTTCAAAAACTCTTTAAAGTTAATTATATCTGCTTGTCAATGACATTGTTTAGAAAATCATTACTGTTTTGTCATACAAATCTATAAAGAAGATATTTATTTTCATTCATGTTCTTCATAGCTATTTTTTTATTTGTGAGGATATTCACATGGAAAATGAAGATAAAAATATTTGCTTGTGTGTTTTTTTTTTGTTTTTTTTAATATACATAAATTGACTAATACAGTCTAATAAAACATCAAGATTATATGAAAGGTTATAAATGACTGGCAAAATAGTCTTTAGCAAAGGTTTCTCTAAGATTTTTTTTATTTAACCTAGGTTTTTCATGAATACGACTGCATCATCAGTATATCATAGGTTTGGCAAAATTATTAGATTTTGCTTGCAAAGGGACAAATATAAAAATTACATAAAATTGGAGCAAGAGGTGAGCCCATGTTTATGCTAGAAAATATTGCCATGGTGGTCAGAGAAATGTAATTGTGTAGTATAGTGATAAAGTGACTGAAGATGAGATGTCTGGTCAGGATCAAATATATTACAGATCCTTCTCTGGATTTTGTCAAGCATCTCAAGATGCATAGCAGGAGGAGCAGACCAGATATGACAACAGGATTCAATGCATGGGTGAATGGTAGATTTATAAATATGCAAGATGGATTCAGCTAGAAAAAAAAAAATTGTCATTACCAACCTTCCTTGCAGAAGATGTAGCAATTGACTCTATATAGTTGGTCCACTTCTTGTCAAGAAGGCCATAGTGTGTTGCTCTCCTTGAGTTCAGAATCAGCCATCCTGATGGTAGGCAGCTGGCAGAGTGCATAATCTGAACAAAGCCAGTCTGTATGCTTGATGACTTGTGACTTTGTGCTAGCACAGCCATTGTTTTCTCCCATACAGCTCATAAGACTTTGTTCAACCCATTTTTGGGTTTTCATGTACTTCTCAATGGTGTTGCACACTGAATTATATCTCCAAGCTGATATTATCATTAATAACCTTGACAAATTGATCATGGTGAGATTTCAACCTCTGCTCAGGCTTGGAATGCTAATGTTCTAACCACTTCACTATGCACCCACCTATAAATATATATTTCAAGAAGCATATGCTGTCCATGTGGTAGACAAGATACTGATGGCTACATCTTGGTATTCTTTAAAAAGTTGAAACTTTTAAAGAGTCCATGGTGATGTCATTTGTAATGGTTAAAGGGAATGTTTTTTAATAAGATGTTATATATTGGGATCAAGATTGCGAGTAATCTGTCTGAAGTTCATGTTTCTTCTGTTTTTTTGTTCAAGTACTTTTTGACTGTATCAATCATTATCAAGAACAATAATCCCGTCTCTGTGTGTGTATGTATATATATATATATGTGTGTGTGTGAGAGAGATAGTAAGTATAACTACATGTGAGCGTGTGTTTGTGTGTATGAAAATAAAGCATTTCATTACTGAAAATTACAAAAGTATTTCAGCCACTTCTTTTTACTTGAAACACAAATGTGTCCACGCACACACACACACATGTTGAAAGTAGAGGTCTACCTAAATTAAGCAGCTGTGAACCAGAACAGTATTT